TGGCTGCTGGCACCGCCCCCAGAGACTATAGAATTATATCTGAGGTAACAGCACAGGGTGCCAGGCATGAGTTGGTCCATGAGAGGACCCAATTTAAAAACCAACTCCCCTCATGGGCCAGCTGCCTGTCAGCCTGTGAGTTGGTAGCAGCTCCTCTCCATGGGTGGAGGGAGGGTCTGAGCTCCCAAACCCAGCAATAATTGGGACTGAACCAAGCTGGCTGCCTGCCTGGCTCCTAATACTCTTAAAATGTAGAGTTGCTGCTGGGATAGGTCCTGGACGTAGTGAGCCTGGGGGAGGGGGAGCGCATGATGCCTCCTCCTGCCCTGTCAGGAGTGAGTTGGTAGCAGCTCCTCTCCATGGGTGGAGGGAGGGTCTGAGCTCCCAAACCCAGCAATAATTGGGACTGAACCAAGCTGGCTGCCTGCCTGGCTCCTAATACTCTTAAAATGTAGAGTTGCTGCTGGGATAGGTCCTGGACGTAGTGAGCCTGGGGGAGGGGGAGCGCATGATGCCTCCTCCTGCCCTGTCAGGAGCATGCGGCGCTTTGAAGCACTGCATGTTGCTCGCAGGGCAGGGGGAGAGCGGAGAAGGCTTTGGGCACTCCCCTGCCCCCAGGCCACTCAGCTCCAGGGGAGCTGCATGCAGCTTTCTTTGCTTTGCCCCCGCCCTGAGAGGATCTCACGGCACTTCAAAGTGCCACGTGCTCCTCGAAGGGTGGGATGAGGCTTTTTTTCCTCTCCCACCCCCCCCCCCCACTTGATTGGCCCGAAGGTGGGGGAGCGTGCCAAGTGTACTCTTCAAGGGCATGGGTGCCTAGTAGGAAGGGGGGCAAAGGGGCTTCTCCACCCCCAGACCAATCATGGTCTGGGACAGGGTAGCCCTGCCTCTTCCCATTTAGACCCCACCCTTCCTGTTTAGGCCACACCCCTTCTGTGGTGGCCTGGGGCTACTTCAAAAATTTTTGAAGTGGCCCCTGGGCAAAAATTATTGTCCACCCCGGTTTAGAACAAGGGTTGCCAACTTTTTCAAAGCAAAGAGCCGAACTACATCAAAATTCAGAACAAATGGCCAGCAAACAGCCATATAAGAATGCCAGTTTGTGTGATTGAAAATGTACAATGTAATATTATTGATGGTTTTTTTATAGTTATTAGGAATAGAGTAGTCATGCCAGGCTCCCCATGATTTAAAGGATTCCTGATATGCAGAATGTCTGTCCCCATCTCTGATAGGCATGCCCACTGTATTCATTGTCTGGTACAGACTCATTCTCCAAAAAACTTCCATCACTGTAAGAAGCTCTCTTTGAGATATCTGTAAGTGAGAGAGCTGAGTTAAAACTCTTCACAGTGGAGAAAGCAGAGTATCTCAGGCCTCTCCAACCTCTACCTCACTGCACTGAGCAAGCCTCCAGCCAAGAAAATGGCTAAGAGGAAGTGCACGTCCCAAGAAGTTCTCAGGAGTGGGCAATAATATTTGACTGGGGGCCAGTCCAAGATTTTGGAAGTGATTGAGGGCTGCACCAGTCTATGATATTAATGGAGGAGATGTGGGATCTGGAATGGAGGTCGGGTGCAGAAGGAGCTTGTGGTAAGGGATTGGACTGCAGGAGGGAGACTGGAGTCTGAGAGAGTGTTTGGGTGAAGAAGGCGGTTGTGACTTAGGGCAGGGGACTGGAGTGCAGGGTTTGGGAATTGACTTAGGGTAGAAGGGGATTGTGAGCTAGTGTAGGGGATTGAGGTGCCAGGAGGGGATATGGGTGCAAGAAGGGGACACAGGGTTTGGGTATGTTGAGTTGGGGTGGGCAGAGGTTTGGGGCAGGGAGGAGCTGGAGTGCCAAAGCAGGCTGTGGCCAGGAGACTTTCCAGCCAGCAGCCAAACCTGCCTGCCTGTCTGCAGAGCTAAGACTTGCAGAGCTTAAAACGTTTTCCAGCAGCTAGTCTGCCTGTTTGCTTGTCCATGTGCTTCAGTGAATAATTGAGCTGAGGAGAGGGGGTGTGGTGGTTCTTGGATGCCTGTTGTTCAAACAAGCAGCACCCATTGGCTAATTTCTGGCCAGTAACCAGCTAATGGGATTATGCTGTGGGCAGGGTAGCTCCTGAACTCCCCCTCCCCCCCAACCAGTTTTTTGAAAGGAAGCCTGGCAACCACGTTTCTGCTCAGGGCTGCGGGGCAAGCAGGGGAGCCTGCCTGGGGCTCCCTGCTGCTTCTGTGGGCTGGATCCAGTGGTTCTGTGGGACGGATCCAGCCTGCAGGCTGTATTTTGCCTAGGCCTGGGTTTATCCCCTCAGCAAAAGCTTTCCTTGGCATCCAGGGTACAGGCTTGTGGAGATGTGCAGGCACCAGGGATGCCAGTATGGACAAACCCCGTGGGGCAGTGTCCTCTATAGATATATGCTCTGTCTCAGT